TGGCTGGCCCTCCAGCACCTGAGCATCTCATCTGGTTTAGAAGCACAATTAAATCTTTCACACGGATTCACTCCGAACATCTGAAAGGAAAAAGTGTCTACACAGACTGTGCCCAAGTCATTTGTACTGCCATCCTCCCTAAAATACTGCATACAAATTGCTTCTGTGGGGTCTAAGGCATTAGGAACCACACATTAAAAGGAAGCAAAGGCTATTTCTGAAGAGAAGCTGAAAAATTGGCGACTGTTGGAAGACCTTACATTTTCTTCGGCCCTCCACACCCCCACCCCAAAGGCCAGTCCACAGCGTTGAGGATCAAGATGATAAACCAGGCTGCTGCCACTCCTTTGTGTCATCGCTTCAGCGGCGGCAGATGAGGGCAGGAACAGCCTTCTCCTAGCAGCAAACTGCCTGCACGCTCCCCTCCTCCCCACCCACCCGCATCACGACATAAGCTCATTTCAATGAAAATGATGTCAGTCTCTCAGCAGAAAGCCACTGAAAGCTTCTAGCAAGAGCATGGAAGAATATCACTGAATTGATTCCATTAGCGTAATCTAAGAGAAAATAATGATTTATCAGCCTCGAAGCTTGGAAACAGAAAACAAACAGTCTGTGGCAGAGCAGAGAGAGACTCAGATTTATAATCAACGCAATAAGCATGGAAATGAGAAAGCTCTCAGCTTCCCGCAAATGGAAAAGAGTGAAATATGTCATGATGCCAACAAGGGGTTCTCAGAGACGTCGAAAGTCAAAGGAGGGAAGGAGACCAGAAGCTTCCTGGTGATGGCAGGGGAATGGGAACAGCTTGACCCAGGCAGGACAAGGAGGATTAACACTACCAAGATGCTGTACCAGCAGACACAGCCTGCGACAGAAACGGGGTAAAAAAACCCCACAGGCTGGACTGAATACCTGGATGGCAGCCAGCCCGCAGGCGAGCGTCCAGAACGCCCCCAGCACATCTGGAGACGGGGCCTCGGAAGCTGCGCGAGGCCGGCGGGCAGGACCACCAAGGGCAGAGATTGAGGCAGCCCCCCTGTTTGAGGTCAGACAGACAGTGGTGAGGAGGGTCTCCTTAACCCCGAGGTGCTCAACTTCCCACAGCTCGTTGCTCCAGGAACGCGGGTAATAGTTTACTGTGAGAAAGGAGACCTCCAGCGTGTGTTAGCAGAAGAGGTGTTGGAGAACAGGGTCTCCCAGATGTCCAGATTCTTGTGCAGCTACATACTGAACACCTGCTAAGGTCCTGAAAAAGTCAGGAGGAGCGATGAGGGTGCAGGGTGAGAGCGATGAGCTATTCAGTTGTGTAAACATCTGCAAAATGCCTGAAAATTACAGGCAGTCTGGTGCAAGAGGAGGGAAGTTCCACCATGGAGCAAACTCTCTGCTATTTGGTGGCCTTTCCTCTCCCTCTATCCTGCCTTTGATTTAAGAAGCAAGACCAAGACCAAGCAAAACCTGCTTGGCAAACATCCTGCATCTGGCCCACCAGGGCTTCTCCTCCTGCCTCAAGCAGTTGTTTTTCACACCTTGCCCAAGGCAGCAGGTTAAAACCCACCACTGGAGGATTAAATCCCCTCTGCACAAACACCATCCAGGCTCTGCAGTGCTCGTTGTCAGATTTGCCAGGCACCAGCTGGAACTCAGACGAGACAGACCCTTCTCCAGTGCCGGCTGCTCTGGGACCTCACCTGCTCACTACGGTCTGAGAACCGGAGGTGAGCTCCCGCTGCCCAAAATATCCTGGGAGCTCTTTGCTTGTCACCTACAGACAGCACACACCTCAGCAACAAGCCTGACACAGCCCGCACCAGACATTTGGCAACTCCAAGATGCTTGAACGTTTTAAAACTAACTCAGCAGCACCAAAGGCAGGAGAGATGGCACTCCCTAGTTAGTACTCGGAGCTCACGCTGGCTGCTCTATCTCTGGAAAACACAAGAGATCACATTCGTTATCCATGCTTATGAATAAAATACTCCTTTTATTTTAGTAAAGTAACAAAGCTTATTTACAGATACAATAACTGTACATTCTAATTGAAAAATAGATTGCGCTCAAAGTCATTAAAGCAAGTCACACGCACACTGTTAGGAACACAAACAACCTCAAACCTCCCAGCACCTTCAGCTCCCGTCTCCGCTCAGGAAATCAGCTGGTTTTGTTCTGAATGATTTTCTGCTGATTCTCCAGACATTCCTTCAGCTTGTCTTCAGTGAGCGTCAGCCTCTGCTCCAGGATGGACACCGTCTGCGAAACACAACGAAAGCTGCTGCTGAGCCACGCCAAGACAAGCTACATGCCGTTCTCTCAGCGGGTAATAAAATGCTAAATCCACGGGTGTATTTTGGGGTATTTCAGGGCTGTAACTCCACTAGCAGTATTTTAGCAGGGCTAAACCCCACATGACTTCAGAGAGAAGCAGTGGGGAGGCTGGTGGGTGTGAAGCTCTCCTGCAGACAATGCCGAGCACCCATTTCGGCCCTCGGTGCTTTCAAACTGGGCTCTGCGTTTCCTTTCACAGACAGGTTCTGTCCTTCCGTGTTCATGGGCCACCAGACACTTCCGCTAAGAAGAGATACAGGTTTTGAACTGTTTCACACTGGTTTAGCTTTGATTTTTCCTCTCTCTTGCTGACTCTTTCCTCCCTTCTCCAAATGCTGTCCGTTTGCTGCAATTAAGCCACACAAAACTTGCTGGACAAGCACGATGACAAGCAAAACCCTCTCAGCACAAGGCAGCGCAACAGGTGACGGGGCAGGGGGGAACTGAAACCCAAAGTGGCAACATCTACCTCAACATAATGCCCAAGTATTTGTGTAATCCAGTTAGCCCACCAAGGATTGGGATATCTTTCTCCTCAAGCTGAAGTCATCACGGACAGGATGCACAGGAAGAACATTTTAACCACGTGGCAATAAAAGCCTCTGCTGAAAACCCTTTATTGATCGCCGCGAGGTAATGAAGGGACCCAGCTATGCAAAACCGCTGTCAGCTTCCACAGACACCGGAATGGCTGGTAATAGGCAGTGATGATTTAATGCTTTAATATCCATCAACTTATCAGCAACAATCAATAGCTTCACATTTTGAGCATTTTTACTGCATAAATAACATCCTCTGTTAAAAACAAAGGATGTTCAGAACCTTGGAGTTTATTATAAAGTCATTAAAATAAACTTGGACAACCGCTGTTTGTATGGAGGTTATACATAGAAAGCCTTTTAATAGCACGTTTCATAAGCACATCTCTGAGCGCCTGACAAAAGAAAACAGGTCTCATTATCCCCATTTGACAGCTAGGGAAACTAAAGCACAAAGAGAGGAAATAGCTTGGCTCAGGCCACTCGAGTGAGGAGGAAAAGTCTCCCGGAAAATGATCTGGGGAATGAGGCAAATGGCACGGGGTGGGAAGAGAAAGCAGACCTAGTAAAAACACCACCGATCGCTATGGCAAAGCCAGCTCACACGGTCGCTTATCAAAGTCAGAAAGGGCTGTGCATCATGGCATTTGCCCTCATACACCCTTTTCTTTCCTCCCCAAACAGTTCAGAGCTTATTTCTAAGCCTGCGCCGCTGCTCACTGAGGAGGCAGAAGAGCTAACTCCTGCTGCCTAACGCAGCCCTGCCGCAGCCGTAGAAAGCTTCACCTGAGTGAAAAATCCCTGCACTGCTTAAATATTCCCCTGGGCTATGGCACTAGCTTCATTACAGTTTTTTCCTCCTCTGTTACCACCACCCTTTGGGGCACAAGAACCAGAAGAGTCGTGGAGCCAGCAGGAGCCCTCCCGTCTATCCAGAGGAGAGAGGATTTCATCTTTTTCCTACCCAGCCAGGCTCTTGCCCGGTGGCTGTCTCTCAGAGGGCAGGAGTAAAGCTGCTCAGGGCAGAACACAGCAGGCTCAATGTCTACCAGGAGTTTACAGCAAAGACCTTACCCTGCAAGCAAGCAGACAGAGAATGAAAAGCAGTGGGAATCATGGCTTTTCCATTTAAAAAAAAAAGGAAGAACTAGCCACTCAAGACTCAGTTAAAAAAAAAGGGGAGGGGGAGAAACATTGCATTAAACTTCCTTTAGTTAATCAACTACATTCGTGTCCTGGTCAGTCTCCTCTAGAAGCAAAGTCCCAGATTACTTGTGGGTCCTGCATCCCAAGATCTCCCGTCACCACGCCCCTGCCGATGCGAGTTCAGTGCCATTGCAGCACCGTGGGACTGAACGCAAATAAAGCGGATTTCAGAAAGTGTTGGAGTCGTGAATGAGCCGTAAGGAAAATGTTTATTGAAATGGAAATTGCACGTAAGGATAAGCAAAGAGCTTGTAGCGAGTCGTTTCTGGAAACTAAAAGTGGAAAAGTAGCAGTCAAAAATTAAATCCAGGAAGTCCAAAATAGGAACCGATGACTACAGTGCATTTAGTCTTGGATATATGGTGCCCGAAACACACAGGGCACCTGACGCCTGAGGAAGGTAAGGGGAAGTGCCAATGCTGCCCGTTCCTGCTAGATTCTGACTTAGACACAAAAGTTCCTTCACCAGCAGCTGACAGTTTTACAGTGTTTCCACGTCGCTATTTATAAAGCCAGTCCTTGCTGGCAGGCACGTGAAACGGCACCCATTCAACGGCTGCAAGGTTTCGCTATTGCTTTGCAGCAGATAATGAACCAACAATTAAGCCAAGGGGGAAAACACCGTTAGCCAGATTCAGCGAGGGCCCACTGGAGCCTGGTTCACACCCCAGCCCTCTCTCTGTGGCAGGACCCGGGCTCCCTGCTACGCCAGGAGCACAGCACGTCTCTGTTACACACCAGGGAGGTAGATGCTGGATAATTTATTAACGTCTTGGCTCAGACTGGCAGAAGAATAACAGCTTAGGTTTAAACAAGAAGAAAGATCAACCCATTTATTTTTTATTTTTAAGGAGAATTTCTGACATTGCAGCAATATACTGAGCATTACTATGGACACCAGAGCAGAATATGGCATTTTTAACACAAAAGAAAACTTACTTAAATCACCTCTACAACACTTCCTGCAACATTTGTCTTCATTCATCTTCACAGACAGCCTAGGAAAAAAAAACCCTGCTACAGCCCTGCTATAACTTCTTTGGCCTTTCCCTAAAACTGGTCATTTCAGAGCTAATTTCCGACCCAAACTTGGCCAAGGAGTACAGCAAGTAAAGAGTGTCATACAAACGCTGCCGTAGCATCCAAGGGTCCCACCTTACAAGTGCTACTGAGCGGGTTCAGAGGTACCTATATACCTCTCGGGCACAAATTCGTGCCACCTGGACCACAGCCTGCTGCACAGCACCGAGGAGACCGGCTGGCACTACGCTGGGAAGTCAGAAGAGCCTGGCCAGAAGTCACCCTTCCAATGCACCCGCTGAAGTGAGCAATACTGACAAGAAGAGACGCAGCTCTTGTACGCGGGTGGCTAAAGCGGTACCTCCAGCACTCGCTAAAAATACAGTCCTGACCCGCAGCCCTGCGCAGAGACAGGAATTAGCAAGTATCCAGGTAAGTTAACTTGGGAGCCCTCTCTCTAAACTAACGCAGCGAGCGAAATGAACTGCCGCAGGAAGGGTTTGCACCAGGGCAGCCCTACCTATTTGCAGAAAAAAGGAATTAACTCTTTCCACCAACAACAGCTGAAAACACCAAACTTCAGCTGCAAGATGGAAAGGCTCGCGGGAGACCTTGTGCAGCAAACGTCACTGAGGTTCAAGCACCAACCTGTCTGGCAAGGAGCAGACTTTCTTCCTCTCACACTACGTTCTGCCCCGACCTGCTGTCAGCCTCCCTTCCACCTCAGCACCTGCGCCTAGCGAGGCTCAACGTAGCCCCCTGCTATCGGTAAGCACGCCTGAAGAAAGCCAGGCTGCCCTCCTCCCCAGCAGGTTACAGCTGACCCCCCTTTTGAGAAGGGACCCAACATCCAGTATGCTCTGAAGCGTTTTTAACTGGTGGTTTAGCCTAACCAAGGAATCTTAATTTCCTCGTCCCTGAGAGCGTAACAAAGCGTGGGCCTTTGCAGTTCCAAACACTCCACGTAGCAAATGCACGCGTGCGAGGTGCTCTGCGTGCCCCGACTAGCCTTACTCTAGTGGTTGAAGCCTTAATCTCAGAGATCAAATTGTATTTGATCACTTATGGCTTGCTTTTTTTTAATGTGAAATGATTTCTAAAGAAATGATAGCTCCTCGTCTGCTCAGACTGGAACAAGACCTGCCACCTCAGAGATATTTAAAGTAAGTGCTATAGCTCCTCACCATCTCAATCGCTTTGAATGCAAACTCTAAGGTGAATGCTCTCAAAGCCTATATGCATAGAGTATCGTAGAACCATAGACTCACAGAATGGTTGGGGTTGAAAGGGACCTTAAAGCCCATCCAGTTCCAACCCCCCTGCCATGGGCAGGGACACCTTCCACTAGACCAGGTTGCTCCAAGCCTCATCCAGCCTGGCCTTGAAATATTTCACACCAGGCTGACATACACACAGTGTATTGATTATTTCAAAATTAGGAAGATAGATTAAGAGGAAGACTAAAGTGCTACATGAACTTTCTTTAATGCAACTTCATGAGTTTTCCTGGGTTTGCTTTGTAACATGCTTCAAATTCCACAAACTTTTATGTTTGTTACTACAACACTTCATCAGGATCCCTATACAGCTCCAGATCTGCTCAAGAAGTCATGTGGCTAAATGACCTCAAAGTCTGTTCTCTAGCACAGGGCACAAGAGCTCATAGTCCCAGCAGCTCTCCTCAGCCACGGGTTACTCACAATACTTGAAAAGTGAAGGTGGGTTGTTTTTTTTCACTTGTTTTGGGGTTTTTTGTTTGGGTGTTTGTTTTTTGGGTTTTGGTTTTTTTTTTTATATGTAGCAGTCCAAAGCACTTCAAGAAGGAAATGGGTAGTTATAAAATTCAAAACCTGTATTGCTCACCAGCTATCCCCTTCCTTAATACTGTGAGGGTGGTGAGGCACTGGAACAGGTTGCCCAGAGAAGCTGTGGATGCCCCATCCCTGGAAGTGTCCAAGGCCAGGCTGGATGAGGCTTGGAGCAACCTGGTCTAGTGGAAGGTATCCTTGCCCACAGCAGGGTGTCAGAACTAGATGATTTTGAAGGTCCCTTCCAAGCACGTGATTCTATGAGTATCAGCTGCCATCTCTTCTTCCACCTCCCAATACACTCCACTTTCTGCAGATCCTTGAATACACTTAGTTAACTGACCCTTTACCT